ATCTCAGGCACTTGGGAAACACATCAAAATACAGCCCCTCTTCCTGTCCCCTCTGAACCCCAGAGACAGAAAAAACCCATCCTAGTCCATCAGGACTCTGGTCAAGTCATCTCCACTCTGGGACGCAGCAGCCGAGTGAGACATACACAAGTACAGCTTCGTGGCAGGCTACAGATATAGGCCAGGGGGTGCTGTGCAGAATAAAGTAACAGATGCAAGCTTTGGGAGAGGAAAAAAGGCCACAACCAAATAACACTAAAATAGCACAGAATTCAGTTTTCCCAGCAAGAGCATGTCACTCCCCCAAATGCAGAAAAAAAATATATCGAATGATACAATAAGAATACCAACAGTGATTGAACTGCAACAGCAGCTGGATGGGCCTAGGTCTGTGTGTGTGTGTGTGTGTGTGTGTGTGAAAGAGAGAGAGAGAGAGGGAGGGAGGGAGGGAGGGAGAGAGAGATTTAGCAATTACAGGTTGTTCTCAACTTACAACAGTTCACTTAGTGACCGTTCAAAGATAAAACGGCCCTGAAAAAAGTGATTTATGACCATTTTTCACACTCATGATCATTGCACCATCCCCATCAGGGGTGAAATCTGAACCGATTCACTACCGGTTCGCTGGCCGTGCATGTGCACTGAGCGCCAAGCACGTACTGTGTGTGCACATGCACACCAAACGCATGCTGTGTGTGCATGCACAGTGCACACCAAATGCAAGCTGCGTGTTTAAAAAGCTACCGGTTCAGTTGAACCGGGAATTAAAAAAAGCTATGACCCGACGATCGCCTGTGCACAGTACGTCCCAAAAGGAGGCTTGGGAAGGTAAGTAGAACAGCGAGGGGGGGAGATCACTGTGGTGCTCAGTTTAGCTTCACTAGAAAGCACAGGTGATCGTCGGATCGTAGCTTTTTTCAACTACCAATTCAACCGAACTGGTAGCTAACTACTGGTTCAACTGAACCGGTAGGTTTTTTTTTACTACCGGTTCACCCAAACAGGAGCGAACCAGTAGCATTCCACCCCGATCCCCATGGTCACGTGATTTACATTCGGATGCTTGACAACTGACTCACAATTGTGACAGTTGCAGTGTCCCAGGATCTGTGATGCCCTTTGTTACTAATTTAACAACTGCAGTGATTCAGTTAACAAATGCGGCAAGACAAGTCGTAAAATGGGGCAAAACTCATTTATCTACTCACTCAGTCAACATACAAGTTGACGACTACCTGTACAGTATTAGATGGGCTGGGGAGAGGGGGTTCGACCCATTCTCCACTGGACTGTGAAGCTACCGTAATTTGGGGCCCATCTACTTCACAGGGCTGTCCTTGTGGGGGGGGGGGACACACACATATAGCTCCACCCTTTCGAGCTCTTTGAGAGAAAAGTCAGGATAGATATAAACCACCCTAAACTTTTTTGTGTGTGTGTGTGTGGCAGAGTACCCACCAGGCCTGTGAGCAAGTTCCCCAAAGCCAAGGAGTGCAGGTTACAGGTCAACATTCTTTCTTTCTCTCCCACCCCTCCGGTCCTCCTGCCTGGCCGCTTGCAATATTGCATAGGGGAAAAAAGCTCCACATCCCAGGATCCTTTCCTTCACTCATCCCCACCCCCCACATTTGTAAAAGGCATGTGCAGAACAGAGAACAACACAGGAGTGGGGGGGGGGAAATGATTATGGAAAGCCCACCTGTTCCTCCTCACCCCTCCAGACCAGAGAAGCTGAAGAGTTGCAGAGCTTAGCCTCAATTTTTTTGGCCCCGACCATCCCTTTTACCGAGGCATCCCAGAAAAACCAATAGGGAAGGGGGAGGGGGAGAGAGAGAGAGAGAGAGAGAGAGAAAGCGACGATCGCAGGTCTGACAGTCCAGGCCATACATTTCAGACACGTGCAGGTCTCCCCCCCCCCAACCTCCTCCGCGCCCCCCTTCTAATGCAATGAGTTCGAATTCGAATTCTTAGGCCTTTTCCCCTCGTAAACATCCTAAGAGAACGGGGGACCGTATTACACGTCGGTGTGCTTGATACAACCCCGACAAGCCCATTCAGTCGTGCGGCCGGGGGATGGGGGGGGGGGGCTTGCAGCAAAGGGAACTTTCCCGGCGCTGAGCAACTACGGCGCCTACAATGGGGGCCCTGGAGCCCGTGTGTGGACCGGACAGGTGCGTCCTCACCTCACGCCCCTTTTTCCTCGCAGTCTCCGCGGCTGGTGCGCCCCAACGGAGACGCTTCTATCTAGCCAAGACTCTCACCACCACCACCCCCCATTCGTAAGCCCGCCGTCGCCGCCCGCCGTCTCCCCGAGCCGAGGTAGAGGCGGCCTAAGGAACTGCCCCGCTCCTCTTCCCGTCCTTTCTCTCTCTCTCATCCTTCCCAAGATTAGGGGCATTTCCCAAAGGCCCGGCCTCTCCAGAGCCGCCTGTCCTCCCCCCCCCCCCCCCCCCCCCCCCCCCCCCCCCCACGACTCGGCTCCAAGGCTCCAGAGGCGCAGATCCTTGGGCTCCTCCTTTGCGCGCTCGGCAGCCGCAGTTGCGCCCCGTTCCACCCATTCACCTCGCAACGCCCGAGCGGTTTCGGTGGAAAGGCTGGGCCGCTTTTCCTCTCGGGCCAGCTGGGGAGAAAGCCGGGCACCGTCCGCCCCTGTGCTCAGCACCTCTCGCCTCCCAGCCTTTCCGCTCGGTGTTTTTACGGCGTGTCCCCAGCTCGCCGCCGCCGTCTCTTCTCCATTCCTGCCTTGCTCGCTCTGGGCCCGTCCCCTCCCCTCCTCCCCTCCCCTCCCGCGTTGTCCAGGGTAAACGCCCTCTAGCCCGGATCCACAAGGCTCGCCCCACTCTGTGTGCGCTCCCGACCGGGGATCGCCAAGCGGGAGGCCTTAAAGGCACAAGATCCCTTTTGTCTGCTTCCCTTTCCAGCCCCCGCCTCACCCCACCCCCGTCGCGTTGGGATGCGGGGGCAGTTGTGGAGAGAGGGAGGGAGACGCCAAGGTGCAGAGAAGAGCCGTGATTCTTGGCAGCGAATGCGCTTGGCAACGGGGAGGGTCAGGCGAGGCTGTCCAAGGCAGGCAGGCAGGCAAGGCAGGCGAGGGGCACCTGCTGCAAACAGGCTGAAGGATGGAGGGGAAGCGGGCACCCGTGTTGGCCCGGTGGTTTTTAGCTCGCTCCCCGCGGTGAGTGATTGCCTTAAGAAGCCTGCCCTCAAACTGGTTTTCCGGGGATATCAAACATCTACCGCCTGGATGGGAAAAAAATAATAATAATAACCTCGTGTCTGTTAGAATCGTTCTTCTTGTCCTGAGCCGGGTATTTCAATTGCAGATCAAGAGCTTCCACAATGGGGCTTCTTTCCCGCGGTTGCATTTTTCCAGTATAAAGGAGGTATGCACCCCCCCTCCCCAACTAAGCGATCCCCAAAACAGTGTCATTGAGTCACATGGGGAGGAGCTCAGCTTTGTCTTTTTTTTTCCCCCTCTGTGGGCCGCCTGTTTTTTTTTTTTCCCCTCTGTGGGCCACCTGTTGATTGTTGTTTTTTATTTTTCTCCTAAACTCTGAAGAAGCTTGCTCTTTTTCTTTTTTTTTCCTCCTATGTGCGTAATTGGCCAGGAGGCTGTTCTGATTGGGGTTCGTGGAAGCTGCTAGGCTACGCCAAAATATCAGGTTAGCTTTAGTTCTAACTCTCTGACAAGATCCAGGTATTGAGGGACAGTGGGAAAGAGGCCAATGGGTTAAGAAATGCCCTGCTGGCAAGCCTTGGTGTTGGCTTCAGGAGACCCAAGTTAGGTTTAATGACAGTTTGTGCTCCTCCTGGAGGAAAAGGAGCTGCTTGCCCTCAGTTGTCCCAAGGAAAGCAGTGGGGATGAACCCTAACTCTTACTATTTAACCTCTCTCTTAATTTGTGCTTGTAAGGAAAAAGGGGAAGGCAAATCCTCCAGGCTTCCCAAGAGGGGAGCTAAGATTATTAACTTGAAGGAAGCCCCAATGGGAATTTGGGAAGAGACCGCAGAGACTGGTGTAGTCTTTTAAAGGCATGTCTGAGAGAGCCTTCTTGCAAACATGCCTTTTTTTTTTTATTTTATTTATATGCCGCCTTTCTCCAGAGACTCAGGGCTGCTTACAATGCGTTAAGCAATAGCCTTCATACTTTTGTATATTTTATACAAAGTCAGCTTGTTGCCCCCACAACTGGGTCCTCAATTTACCTACCTTATAAAGGATGGAAGGCTGAGTCAACCTTGAGCCTGGTAAGATTAGAATTTATTAATTGCAGACAGCTGGAGTTAAATTACAATGCATTAGTCTGCTGAGCTATCCAGGCCTTGCTGCATGGTGGGTAGGCATAGTCCACAGACTCATCACCCTTTTGGTTTCCAGACTGGCTGGCTATGGAATCATGCCAACAAATCTCCTTAACAGAGCAACTTACTAAAACGCTCTTTGGGAGTGATTATCCCAGACACAAAAGATCTGTGCTTCCCCTGGGCCTTCTTGATTTGCTTCTCCCCAGGCAAGAAACATGGGGAAGGGGGTGCTAATGAATTAATTGATTCCAATGTCTTTGTCCTTGTATTCCATTGCATCATATTTGGTGTCACGGGGATTTGAGGTGATAGTTTTTTAACCCTTCCTGAACTGGAAGCCAGAACATTACCAAATCCTCAAAGAGCAGGTTTCTTTTTTCTTTCTTTGTGAAGGTTCCTACCAGTAAGAATGCCAAACTCTTCTTTTCCCTGCCATATTCCTTTCTAATCGTTTCTCAAAACAGTGCCATAAATTATCGACTTGGCTCGGTGCAGTGCTTGCAAAAGGCAAATTCCTACTTGTTCTGGATTTGAGGAGTAAAGGGTAGAATATTTTAGTCTTTCTAGAACCTTGGGACTTCATAAGGTTGTACCAAATTGTACTTTTGCCCACTTCTTTCCTCTTGCCCAAAACTGCCCAGATCTCATCACTATGTATAAGGGCTCTTAAACTAAACAAAATACTACACAGAAAAAGAATGTGTCAAATACTTTATTCATTTTCAAGATGCATATCCTTTCTTTTCTAGGAATTCAAGACACCTTAGAATAAAATATAATGAAAGTCATTAGGTAAAATCATTAGAAAAGAAGCAATAGACCAGAACAAACCCGGGGTGGGGGTGGGGGCAGGACAAAAAGAATTGCAATTTAAATATTAATCATATTCATACAGGGATTTAAGAAGATAGTACAGCAAATAAGCAAACCAAAAGGAAATTAAAAATAGCCTGGAACACTCAGCCTTGTGCAATCTAGATGTTTTGGTATTAACAGAATTCCTCCAAACTATGGACAAGGCTGGCTGGGAATTATGGATATTATAGTCCAAAGAAGGGTGCCTGTTAGGGCTAGCTATCCTTGGGTATCAAAATAAGGAAAGACCAGGCCAAAAGCCATCCTCAGTAGCAAGGTTTTCTAATGATCAGGAAAGGCTTGAGGAAAAGACTTCCTCAAAAGTAGAGCTCAGCACCTAGGCACAGCCATTGGAAATATAATACTAGAACTACACATGGTGCTTTATAAAATGACATTTTATTATTTTTTTAAAATTTATTTATTTTTGTCAAGTATTTATTATTTATTTATTTATTTATTATTCAAATTTCTATACCGCCCTTCTCCTTTCGGACTCAGGGCGGTGAACAGCCAAAATAAAAACATCTATACATAACATTACAGTTAAAAATAGAGTTAAAATAATTTATAAATTTGGCCCGTAATTTAAAACTTGTCAATTTAAAATCAATATTAAAATTTTAAAACTAACCCTAAAATCAAGACAGACCGGCTAACTGAAGTACGTATTAGATAATATATATAAGCATGAATTGAATACATAAAATGAATACAAATAAAGGGAACATTTGGACAGGGACGGTAGGCACGCTGGTGCATTTATGCACACCCCTTACAGACCTCTAAGGAATGGGGTGAGGTCAACAGTAGACAGTCTAAAGTTAAAGTTATGGGGATTTGGGGAAGAAACCACAGAGTCAGGTAGTGCATTCCAGGCATTGACCACTCTGTTGCTGAAGTCATATTTTCTGCAATCAAGTTTGGAGCGGTTCACTTTTAAGTTTGTATCTATGGTGTGCTTGTGTATTGTTGTGGTTGAAGCTGAAGTAGTCATTGACAGGTAGGACATTGTAGAGATAATTTTATGAGCCATGCTTAGGTCATACCGAAGGCAGCGTAATCTAAGTTTTCTAAGCCTAGAATTTCAAGTCTGGTGGCATAAGGTATTTTATTGCGAGCAGAGGAGTGGAGGACTCTACTTGTGAAATATTTCTGGACACGTTCAATTGTATTAATGTCCGATATGCAGTGCGGGTTCCAGACAGATGAGCTGTATTCGAGAATTGGTCTAGCAAATGTTTTGTATGCTCTGGTTAGTAGTGTGATATTACCAGAGAAGAAGCTACGCAAGATTAGGTTTACAACTCTTAATGCCTTTTTGGCGATGTTGTTAGAGTGGCACTTAGATCATTAGATATGAGTACTCCAAGGTCATGTCCACTCAGCTTGTATTTTGTGTTCTGATTCTTTTTGTCAATGTGTAAGACAGAGCATTTGTTAGTTGAGATTTGGAGTTGCCAATTGTTTGACCATTTCGAAACAAAGTCAAGGTCTTTTTGAAGGGTAGCAGCATTGTCAGTGGTGTTAAATAGTTTTACATCATCGGCGAAGAGAACATCAGTCCCTGTCTCTGAGTTTAACAAACAATTTAAACAAAGGAGAAAATATCTGGAGGAGGAGTGGAGATAAAGGTAGAGATAATATGGTAGCAATATACACATTTTATTTCATATTTAAACTAATTTGTCTTTTCCAAAGGGCACCAAAGTAGCTTTTTTTTAAAAAAAAAAACTTAGTTCAGAAGCGTTGTAACTGCTATAAGGATACAACGTGTATGGAATGAACTGCAGCAATAGAGATGCTACCCAGAATTATTCCATTGACTTTGACTTTTTCTTTTAAAAGATGTTTATATAAGAGGCAAATTGGTAAAGTGATTTGCCTCTGCCTACTCTTCTACCCCAGGATGTTCTCTCTCAGCCCAAGCTTAACTCAGTCATTTCTGTGTGGGCAAGTGTTCTCATTCTTTTTGATAAGAAGAAAGTACTTTTTAAAAAAAAGAAAAACAGCCAGCAGCATCTAGCCAGCTGTGGATGTAGTGGTGTCTATGGCAGGGATGTTGTGATATCAGATGGTGAATGCAGCTGGGTAATCAAAGCACCAAGTCTTTTTATTTTATGTTGCATGCCAGTCACATCTGCTGCTTGATATTGCTGACCCCTCCTCTCCACCCTATGTTTTTTTTAGATCATCTCAGAGAAACTGAAGTTAGATTAGTGAATACTTTGATAATAGGTCGAGACATCTCAGGGCTATAAGCTCGACTACCGTAGTAAATTGAAAAAAACATCCTCAAAAATAGAGACACTTCACTAAGACTGTCATAAGATTGCATGGACTTGTCCACTCAAACATCTGTAATCAAGCTTGACTCAAGGAAATCTTTAACAGAGTTGGGGCCATGTATGGATAGAACATACAAAAGAGACAAAACATTGCATTGTCTTGCAGTGGTACAGTCATTAATAGTCTTTGCCCCATTTATGAAGTGATGTTGAAGAGGTTAAGATTCCATCCCTGATCTATGTCTGGCTCAGCTATGGTGTATGTTGAAGTGCATTTGAAGTGATTCTCCCATCAAGATGCCAGTGTTCTGGGGACCTTGTGGTTATGCCAGTATCCCATTGATGGGATGCCTTTTGTCACCCACCCACCCCGCCTCCAAATCCAATGTAGCAAACTGAACTACATCCTCCTTCCTCAAAAGATAGCCCCCATATTTGAAATGCTACTGTGATACCAATTAGTGGTTTTAAGCAATGGTACCCTGCTCTGTAGCAACATTCAGTTGAGAACTGGAGAAGTTGCCAAAGAAATGCCAACAGTGTGTACTTCAAGTATGGACAGAAGGAGGGCACTAAATGAGAACCATTTTTTAATTCACTGATTAGTCAGCTAGGAAGCATTAATTGACTTACGGTCTGCTCAGTAATTTGAGCTTGCAACAATTATGAGAACTTGGAGCAAGCTTCAGATGGGCTTCTGAGGAATTGGGGAACTGAATACCATGATGTGAAAGTACATTACAGGTTTAAGGGGAGCATGCTGTAATTATCTGAGGAACTGCAACCCATCTGAAAGGAGAAAGGGAAATCATGGGAATGAAACCCTTAAATATCAAGAAAGGCTTATTACTAGGCAGAGCTCCAAGTTTGTTTCCTTAGAGGTTAGATTTCGCTCACTGGTACTGTTGACTCATGGAAAAACAATCAAGACAACCTTCCTATCAGTGAACTGGGAAGCTTAGTTCTTTACCTTAATCTGAATTTGAAAAAAAAACTTTTTCCAATACTACAGAGAGTAATGGCGAGTAATAGTTCTTAGCATGAGAAGTCTTTTAAGATATAAGTACACAGGTTTGAAGATACAACATAGCAGATTTATACCCAGCTAATGTAGCTCTTGGGTGAAACTAATTTATGGAATATGTACCATGTATACCATCATGCTATGCATTGATGCACCATTACTGAGACACAACATCTGCCCTGGAGGCCAATGTGTTTGCTGTCCCAGTGTCTGCATGGTAGCAACTGTGGTGCTAATACTAATTCACTTTGCTGTACAGTGCTAATTGTGCTGTTTCACACCACACTGGAACAAGCAGAGTGGCAGATGATTTATAAAAATGCAGACCAGCTATTAATAGTGTGAGAAACAACATAGTTTGCCTTATCTGGGCCATTTTCTCACTGTTGGGCACAAGAGGGTTCTTGGACATGTTACTAAGTCAGCAGTTAATTCCTACTCAAATAGGTGATATCCTGCTCTCTGACTTGAATACTTTTCTTCTTAATCCTAACTGAATTAGATATCTTTAAAGGCATTTCTGTTACTATTTTGTGCATTTTAGAATCAAGGTGGATAATATTATTTGAGCCATGTGCAGAAGTTGTGCTTAGAGCTTTCCACGAAGCCTAAATTTATTTATTTATTTTATTTATTTATTTATTTATTTATTGGTTCGATTTATATGCCGCCCTTCTCCAGAGACTCAGGGCGGCTTACAATGCGTTAAGCAATAGCCTTCTTACTTTTGTATATACCTGCTTAGTAGGGCTTTCGCCGCCCCCCAAGCGGTGTTCTTTTTATACAAAGTCAGCTTATTGCCCCCACAATCCAGGTCTTCATTTTACCTACTTCGGAAGGTAAATGGTAAATTGGGGTGATGTCTGGTCAAGATATGGTAATATAGTCAGATATCGATATTCTCTTGCACTCCCTACCAACATTTTCATGCTGGTAACTATTTAAGAGTATTTCATTACTTTAAGAGCCAGAAAACCAGAGGTTCCTTTTTAAAAAAATTTGATTACTGTACTGGAGTAGCTCACTTGACTGGCACCCAAGAAAGTTCTACCATCACCTTTCCCCACTCATACTGCAGTGTCAGCAGCTACTATACAGATGTGACAGCTGTTCTGCTCAGAAAGGTGATACATAAAAACTATTAAAGATTCTGTTAATGTTGTAATACTAAAGAAAAATTCAGCAGTTGTTTTTCTAGATTATAGGAAACAATTGGCTTTGCCAAAGCTAAATTTACACAAGGCTCATCTTGTCCTAGTTTTGTTTATTTGTTTGTTTGTTTGTTTGTTCTGGTAAAGCTGATAAATATTGGTTATTCATTCTGAAGTTCCTTAGATTTGCCATTAGGAATGCAATTTTATAGAAGGCCTGAGCTGCTAGAGGAATTTAATGAAAAGGTTAAAAGTCTCATATTATACTTTCCTCCAATTACTGCAAGTACGTTCAACAGCACAGAAAAATGTTCAGTATTATGGCTGTGCCGTCCTTATAATACACTTCCAGAAAGGTGTTTCAAACCATGCAGAGGCATGGAGGTAGCCCCCATCTGCAATTCTTCCCCTCAGAAATCATCATCATGATGTGGATGATTGAAAACAGCTTCTCTTGATAAATTCCTGGTGAAGGAGGAGGATAAAAACATTCCTGGTGTTTTGATATGATACTTAACTTGGATCCAGGCTGCTAAAATTCATTATCTCTGGCTCTCAACTGGCTGTTACAGTGTATCTCTATGTCCTTCATTAGACAAACAAGATTACAAACAGCAGTTTTCTGTTCTGTATTCTCTCCCCTCCCCTCCCTTTTCCTTTCCTTTTTTTTCTTTGTAGGCCTACATATTTAAAATCTAAATAAATAAACTTAAAATCATAAAATTGATCTACATTTAAGATTTATGTATTTTAATAAATTATCACAACATTGGTTCACATCACTTTAAAGAATAATAATCACCCTTTGGTTCATATATTTTTGTAGGATGTAGCAAGGATACATTGCATAAAGTAAACACTTACTGTAAACACTTTTGTTAGGGTTTACAGAACTGACTTATAATTCTATTATAAACAATGTCGACGGCGGCCCCCAGGGGGAGAGCCTTCTCTGTGGGGGCACCTGCCATCTGGAACGAGCTCCCCCCGGAGATACGGAGGATCCTGGACCTGCGCACTTTCCGCCGTGCCATCAAAACATTTCTTTTCCAGCAGGCCGGCCTGGCCTAACCTCTCTTTTAAACTTTTTAAACTTTTTAAAATTCTTAAATTTTAAATTTGTCTTATGAATTGGGGTGTTTTAAATTTTGTTTTTCGGGCCAATTATTTAATTGTATTTTAATGGTTTTTAACATTTGTATTATATGTATTTTATTTGGCTGTTCACCGCCCTGAGTCCTTCAGGAGTAGGGTGGTATACAAATTCAATAAATAAATAAATAAAATAAATAAATAAATATTATAGTATTTTTGTCATGTTATTTTTCACCTTTGAATATGATCAATTATTATATTAGCATCCCATATGCAAACACTGATTTAGCTAGATTATTTTATTTCATTCTTTAATATCTATATACTGTATATCTTTTTGTTGTAACTGAACATCTAAAGTTAAAACCCACAACATAGTCACAATTTCAATTTCATACTACATGCTCCTGCTGCTTTAGGAGCTCCCTGGAGTATTCCTTTTTCGGCTATATCTGATTAACAATTTAAATACTTAAAATTGGTTCTTGAATACAGTATATCTTTTCTGCTACCTATCCAGTAGTAAGAAGATGAAATAAAAAATAGTTGAGATTTTAAAAAAATAATAATCGGGAGTAGGTTAATCTGTCACTGTTATAAGACACCATTAAAAGATTTATGCTCCTATAAAAAGCAGCAACAACTGGCTACATTTAAATTCATTGAGGAAAATAATGAATTTGGGATTCAGAATTCAGCTTCTTTTTGACCTTGAATATTATTGTGCCCCACTGAATTCATGATAAACCTTTAGGTCCATATTTGTGCTTGGAATAGTTTGAACACCTGCACCGAATACTGGAAATAGAAAATGCTGAGACCAGATACAAGTTTTGCATTTTTTCCCATAAACAATTTACATTGTGGGGGTAATCTCATTTTAAAAAAGAACACCTGCACTTAATAGTAGAAAACAGAAAATGCTGAGCCCCAAATACAACTTAGACTCTTTTTCTCATAATCAAATTACATTGTGGGATAACTCACTTTGAAAATAGTAGATGTGTTTTGGAGTCAATTAATCTTCTCACAATATTATTAGTTTCTTCAGCTCTAGCATTTGTTAATTTAGCTCATTTAGCTCATTTAGATCAGATGATTTCTTTTTCTTTCTTTTCTTTTCTTTTCTTTTCTTTCTTTTCTTTCTTTCTCCTTCCTTCCTTCCTTCCTTCCTTCAGAAAGAAGGATTTTCAAACAATATGCTCAATTTTGATGGGGAAATTCTGTTTATAAATTCTCACTCCTCTTTTAAATCTTACTATGGTGGTAATTCTGATAATTAGTTTGCTGTTATAAAATAAAGATAACAAAGTTTAATTTGAATGCTTGCACTGTATCTGCATATACAAATTGTCTGGATTCACAGCTCTTGCTCAAGTCCAGCAGCTCTGACCCAGAAAGCCTTTGTACAGCCCCACCAGGTGTGCCAATTAAGATCTAGAGGCCCTGCTCACAATCATTCCTGCATTCATCATCTCTCCTTAGGGCTATTGTAAAATATCCTATATGGGTCAGATCTTGGAGATTACATGTAAACTATAGTTGGTCCAGAATGCAGCAGCCAGAGTGGTTAGGGAGGGAGGCATCTCATTTTGCCTGGAGAATCAAATTGCTACTGGAGCTCCACTGGCTTCTGGGTGCAATTCAAGGTGCTGGTTGTCATTTTGAAAAGCCTCTATGGCTCATATCCTGGGTGACTTCAGGATTGCCCATTGCCAGCAGTGTCTCTGCCCATCCAATAAGATCTGAAAGGGAGAGTTTTAAAGGAACTAATAGCCATTAAACAGGCCCTTTTGGTGGTTGTCCCCCCAGGATTTGATGACCAACGAAGCTTGGTGATGGTAAAAGCCATCAAGACCTAGCCATTCTAGGAAACTTTGAGGGACTGATATGAACATGATGTACTGTACTTGGTGGGTTGCATAATTACTTGTTATTGTTATTTTCCAGTGAAGTATGATTTGAATTTTACTGTCGTTACATTTTGTTATTGTATTGATTTAATCTGTTAACTGGAGTTTTCACTGCTAAGTCTCAGTAGATTAGAAACAGCATATATATGCCTGGGTGAATAATAAATACCCTGCCCTTAATTGTGTAGTAGCAAATATTGAGGTGGGGGAATGGAGGATTTGCAACAGAAAACTGATAAGAGTTGGGTCCTGACTTCTGCTGATTCTGAGCATATTTATTATGGAGATTCCATCCTCCGTCATCAATTTGTAGAAAAAAATGGGATAAAAACCTCAGGAATATAAGCTAAAAATGGGAAATCCAAAACAAACATACTGGAAGAGAGTTCTAGCAAGCAACTTCCATGTTGCTAAGAAAACTACATGAACGTGCCCATGAATTTACCAGTTCAGCAAAACTCAAAAGGATAATTTGCCTTTTTCATGGAAACTTCATTCTTTAAGTAATCGGGATCTACTTTCTATACAGTTTCCTCCCCTTACTTGGGACCTGTTCCACAGCTTCAGTTCTGAAGAGTTGTCCAGCCCCATTGTACCCCATTATGGAGCTGCTATAGCAGCAGATCCTCCCCACAGAGAACTGCTTCTCGCTATTAAGCAAGGAAATCACAGCTCTGCATAGCTTGCTGGTTCAGAATTCAGACTTCTGCAGGGTTAATTATTACAATGACTTTTTTTTTTTTTTGGCTGCAAGATTCCAGAACAGCGATAAGGAGACGCTGCCAAAAGATCTTTGGGGACTTGATGTTTATTAACTGAGTGCCACCATTGGCCATGAAACAAGCTGAACCAACTCTATTGTGTTGTAGGGAGACCAAGGGTGGGAAAATAGGGTGGGAGACTTGTCCAAGGACAGAGTGATTTATCAGGCAAGACAGGAATGGAATGGAGTGCCAGAAGTAGCATATTTTCAAAGATTGTACCTTTTTACCAGTAGAACATCACATTTAGTAGAACATTTCTGAATGTCACAATGCCTGAGCTGACATCATAAGTATGTTTTAATTGGTCTCTCCCTCTCACCCAGCCTCATAGTAACCCCATAATTTTTGGCTTCCAACTATTTGTACTTCTTAGTAGTTTAGATTCTTCCGACATGGAATTCTCCATGCTGAGAAGGAGCCCTATTATCTGGAGTTAAATGACTGTGTGACATAAGCTGGGCAGCGTAGCTGTGGAGTCATTCCTCCCTTCTGCTTGCAGCTCTAACCAACGCAGCGGAGCTACAGAATAAGAAAACAAGCGTGAGCTGATGCAGTCTTTGAGGCTCATATCTGCGCCAGAGCAACGTAAACTAGGAGCTTAACAGCCCTTCATCTTTTCTGTGGAAACTTAGAAACTGTAGTTCTGAGATGGGGAACAATAGAGTTCATTTCAAATATAGATAAAGATCTGACAAGGGGGGGAAAAAGGTATCCATAGAAAAGAGAAGTTAGCCATTCTGATGCGCTTGACAAATATCAGAGTGTGCAGTGAGATTGTGTGTATCCACAAGAAGGGTTAGACCAATACCAAGAGAAGGCGGTCCTAAACCTACCTCTTCCTTCCGAATGAAACAAAGAGTGTTAAAGTCCTCACAATATACAAAGCTTTTTAACATTTTAGGAAAGTGCAAATCTTCAAAAAACAATCCATAATCTGTGATCGATGTAATGTGATACTGTTTCCCCGAAAATAAGACAGCCCCTGATAATAAGCCCAATTGGGCTTTTGATCACATGCGCTAAAATAAGCCCCACCCTGAAAATAAGCCCCCTCAAAAAATATTTAAACATATGTGCAGTTGGTCCCCATTTCCACTGGTTTCCTCCACGTGCCCCAAAATAATAAGTGTTCCCCAAAAATAAGGCCAAGCACTTATTTCAGGGTTCAAAAAAATATAAGACAGGGTCTTATTTTCGGGAAAACATGGTATATGCATATGGTATATGCATGCAAACTGGCGGCTTTACCTCAGAAATTACAATACAGAAGAAAAGTTAACTTGTGATGCTCCCTACCCCAAACACCAGCACGGCCAGCAAAGTCATTCTGCAATATTTAGAGATCCACAATTCCTCCACAGAGGAGCTTGCGATAGAGCTCAGGGCTATCTCAAATTGAGGCTGTATCAAATGCTCAAATATGCCCTACCACTGTTCCACCAGTTGCTTTGATGTGAAGCTTTTCAAGGGGCCCTGCTTAACATTGCTTCAGAGAACTCTGGAATATTAAAATGGCAGCTCAGCCTCAGGAGGTGTGGGGGGGGGATGCAACATCGGTAAGATTCTGGTGCTGTCCAGGGATTCAAAGAAAGTTCAACTCAAGGACAAAACAACTGCTGGGATTAGGATTAGAGCATGTTCTCTAGAAAGCAAAGGGAGAGAAATTTCTCCCCATCTAGTGCCCCCTAGAAGTGTCAGTACTGCAACTCCCAGAATAGCCAGGGGGGAAAATAGTTGAAAAGCACCTGGTGCTTTTTAACTATTTTTGGTGAATTAAACCTTAGTGACTTTATGGAATTAAACCTTGGTGACTTTTTGGAAAATAAAGGCTTCCTCCCAAAGGAAAATGGTTCAGGAAGGGCTGGTACCAGAGAAGATAGGCTGTGCCCCTCACAAAAGGAACAAAGAGTGAATGCGCAGGCAAAACATGAGGAAAGACTGCTGGCCTTGTAAATGTCCCAAGGGCAAATTGGCTAACAGCTGTAGGAAGAAAACACAAAAATTCAACCAGATGACCCTTTAGTCTGATCCAGCAAGGAACTTTTTATGTCCTTAAATTGTCAAGCCTGCTGTTTGAAGCCTTTGGAAAGAATGGAAGAAGCTTCAATGGTTTATAAAATATCTTCCCCAACTTCCATATCACTAATCCAGATATATATTTTTTATAATAATGCAGATTTTATCCTAGCAGTTACCTAGGATAAAGGTAAAAAATATAAATTACCTTATATTTGTTGTTAATTTGATTAACAACAAATATAAGTTTTAACATTCCCTACATGAGCTGCTGCCTCCCAGGGAGTGCTTGTCTTACCTATCGCTCTTTCAGGGTGGATTTGGCCTCTAACTGAGTGGAGGAATGAGAGTCAATATGGTGTAGTGGTGAAGGCACTAGAAACTGGGAAACTCTGAGTTGTAGTCCCGTCCTGGACACGAACTCAGTTAGGTGATCTTGGGCCACTTACTCTCTGGCTAAGGAACAATGATGCAAGGGCAAATACTTCTGAAAAATCTTGCCAGGAAAACTGCAGGAACTTGTCCAGGCAATCTCCGAAATTCTGACACGATTGAACCAGAGGGAGGTTTCAGGAGGTTCTGACCAGTTCTAGAGAACCGGTAGTGGAAATTTTGAGTAGTTCAGAGAACCGGTAGTAAAAATTCTGACTGGATCTACCCCCATCTGTTCTCTGCCTCCCAAGTCCCAGCTGATCAGGAGGAAATGGGGATTTTGCAGTAACCTTTCCCTGGATTGGGGAGGGAATGAAGATTTTACAGTATCCTTCCCCTGCCACGCCCACCAGGCCACACCCATCAAGCCCCGCCCACCAAGCCACATCCACAAAACCGGTGGAATTTTTGAAACCCACCACTTGATTGAACAGAAGGAAAAGAAAGACTGGAGAAGTGAGAGGCAAAATGGCTGTCCTGGGAAACTCTCCCATCTTTAATTATCCCAGAATTCCTGCTGTCTTGTTATCTACACTGGGGCTGGCTCCAGGGGTGAAATGCTCCTGGTTTGGACGGGATCGCCCAATCCGGTAGCGATGGCGGCAGATGGTTCGGAGAACTGGTAGCAAAAATCCCTGCGCCGCCCCCCCCCCCCAGCCCAGCTGAGCCGCAACATCATCAGAGGCTTTTTTTTTTACTTTTAAAAAGCATTTTTTCTACAACCTCTTCGGCGGAAAAAATGCTTTTAAAAGTAAAAAAAAAAGCCTCTGATGATGTTGCGGCTCAGCTGGGATCGTCAGAGGCTTTTAAAAGCATTTTTTCTACAACCTCTTCGGCTGAGGAGGAAAAAAATAATACAAAAAAAATGGAATGTGCAGAAATGGACAAACTTACCAGAGAGATACAGGGAAAAGAAGATTCAGAGTATTATTTAATCTGGCAGAAATGGTACAACTGGTTAGATAAAAAGAACACGAAATAAGGGAATACCACCCAATGATACAAAAATAAGGAAATAAAATGAAATATCGTTGTATAAACATTGATATATGATGAAAGATAAATATACATAGATATATAATTACCGAAGTAGCTCTATTTTTAAAGTTCAAGCTGTAAGACTTGACTTCTCTGTATAGTTAGTTTATGTATAGTTTGTTTTAATGTTTACATCTATATATGTATGTTTATAAAAAATAAAAAAATAAAAAAAATAAAAAATAAAAGCCTCTGACGATCCCAGCTGAGTTGCCTGATCGTCAGAGGCTTTTAAAAACATTTTTTTCTGCAACCGAAGAGGTTGTAGAAATAATGCTTTTAAAAGTAAAAAAAAAAAAGTTGGCCACACCCACCCAGTCACATTACCCACCACCACCAAGCCATGCCCACAGAACCGGTAGTAACAAATTTTACATTTCACCACTGGCTGGCTCCAATGTATATGGAGGTACTTGCTGCAGCTGCTTTCTTCAAGACTTATTTCCAAAGCCCTGGGAAGGAGCACCAAGTAAATCAAAAGGTTTAATGAAACAAAATAACTTTTAAAATGAGTAAAAGTGTCAGCCCCTGCTGATCTCTCTGCTCAGTTCTCCTGAGCCTGAAAAGCAAATCTTCGGATCATCTCTCCAGACTAGAGCAGTTAAAAGGATTGTTTCAAGGCCAGTAGTAAAAGTCAGCTCTGACTCAGGAAATGACATTCCCCCCCCCAACCAGGGGTCTTCTCCCTCTTTCCATGAAAAAGAGCAAATAGAGTGACTACTTTCCCAGTCCATCCACTCTGCTGTCTTCCAAGCTTCTGGCAGCAGCAGTGGCAGCAGGAAATGGCTCCCTGGAACAAAGGCCCATTTACAAATCCCTGTCCCCAAAAGTTTCAGCCGGAGAGTGCCACCCCAAACATTCCGGGCTTAGCCCCCCTGGGTGAATCCAGGGGGCCTGGGGGCGGGGAAGAGACCAAGCGAAAAAAAATCTCAGGCTACCAGGAGTTTCAGTTAGGCGGGCCCTTTTTTTGCCTTTAGAATTTCTTTTCAATGTGGGTGCCCTGCAGCTCTGGTGGAAAAGACTGACACTCTTTGCCTCCCTCCCTTGTTGTAGCTTAGATCAGTCTGTGGAAATCCAAGCTCTGAGCGAGAACAGAAAGAGCCACTAAGAAACAAGAAGAAGATACCAGCTGGTTCGAATGTGGGGGGGACGGCGGCGGAACAAAGAATAATTTGGAACCCACTGCCCAGTGGTGAAATCCAAATTTTTTTACTACCGGTTCGGTGGGCGTGGCTTGGTGGGCGTGGTGTGGCTTGGTGGGTGTGGCTTGGTGGGCATGGCAGGGGAAGGATACTGCAGAATCTCCATTCCCACCCCACTCCAGGGGAAGGATACTGCAAAATTCCCATTCTCTCCAGACTACTCAAAATTTCTGCTACCGGTTCTCCATAACCTGCTGCATTTCACCCCTGCCGCTGCCCCAACAGGTCTGGATGAGGATTTTGAGCCTTCTTTAATACATCTCCAATGTTATAATGGTAGGGGGGAAAGTAGGCTTAGTGGAGGAAGGAGCATTCAGCCAAATGTCTCCCATGCTTATGAATGGTTGCTTGTGCTGCCTGAACAGAAGCATGCCTTATTCAGAAGGGAGGGAGATGCGCTGCAGCATTTTTGTTGCAGTTCCCTCGTTCGTTCGGAAAAGTTGGCAATTATAAACGCATGGTTCCCAGATTGTTCCCTTTCCTGCTCTGCTAGATTGGAAGCCATATGTCCCCCCCCCTCTCCTCAGAACATGTTCAATTTTAAAAGGAACCATTACCGTCCACTTTAGAGAGCGAGGCCCGCTTTCGTTTCGGCCAGGCTCGTCTCTGCCACAGCGCCTCCTATGGGCAAGAAATAAACCGGAGTCACGTGCAGTTCCCTGCTAAAGCGGCGTTTCCCACGCTACTTCTCTTTCTGGGAAAGGAGAGACCGAAATAGCCGCGGAACTTCTCCCCAGGGAAGATGTGGCTCCTATGCGGACTCCGGCTGCAACCTCAAGCCCGCCCGAGGGAGTCACTCTATTTAGTCCCACCGCGGCTCCTTTGACGAGAGCGGGGGTCGGGAAAGGAACGCTGGGAGTTGCAAGGTTCCAGGCTTCTCGTTGCCTAGCAACCAGCCGCTTCCTTGCTCGGCCTAAGGTTCCATTGATCCAAATGACATCGGTAAACAAAGTTGCCGTGGCAACCAATGGATACGAATTAGTGGACAAGACTATGGATGTGGAGGAGAGGACAAGAGGTGTCCCAGGTGGGGAGAGGGAGAAAGGTGGTGGTGCAGTTTTTGTGAAATTTGGAGGGATCCATGGAGGTACTTCAGCTCTGCTAAGGCTGCAAATTCCTCTCACTACACTTATTTGATTTATATTCATCTCTTTTTGAAATAAATATTCCTGGGAAACAAAAATGTAAATAGGAAGTGTCCAGTTTTTTTTACATATTTAGTAATATTTAGTAATATGTACATATATACATCCGGACTAGACTGTGTTGTTTCTCTGAGTCATATATGTGGGTATATACATATGTACTTGTTTATTTTGTCATGTTTAAGTAGTGTATATTGGAGGAGGTGACCTTTTAAGAGCTGTATGCAATGAAATTTCATCTTAATGTATGCCGATTAGTGTACATTCAAAGTGACAATAAAGTTGTTATATTTTATTTTATTCTGATATCCCATCTTTTTTTTTCCAAGGAGCAAAAGACAGCATGCAAAATTATTCAAACATGACCTCTGGTTTATCTTCACAGCAATCCTGTGGAGGTAGTTTCAGTTGAAACAATGCCATCCTGTGGATTATTATACCTGGTCTGTGAGATGAACTTGACTTCTCACAGTCATAACCAGATCCAGTTCTAATCCCTAATTCTGGAGGGATTGTAAAGAAGAAGAGATCGAAGTGGGAGACTTCTATCGCCAAGGCATTTCCTGTGGCCCTTTGTTTTCAAGGTGATGGTGATAATAGTAGTATATTTTGGAACAAAATTCCCATTGATGTCAGCCAGCATCAGTGATGGGTTGCTACCGGTTCACCACAGATCGGGCAAACCTGTAGCGGCGGTGGCGGGAGGCTCCGCCCACCCAGCCAAACGCTTCTGTGCATGCGCAGAAGTGTCACGCGCACCCACGAGTGAACGGTAGCGACAGGTTTTGAAACCTGCCCCTGGCCAGCATAGGCAATTATCAGATACAGGTAGACCTTGAGATACGACTACAATGTGTCATCTGGCCAAGCGGCGAAGTGACCCATTCCAGTATTATGGAAGGCTTTGAAGTGCTTCAAAATGTGAGGAGAAGGGTATTTCACCGGTAAAGTTGAGAATCAGGCCAAACGCCAGTGGGGAGCTGTTGGGGGCGGGAAATGCTTGCAAGGGACTAGGGATCAGGGGTGAGATGGGGTGCTGCAGCATCCCTATAATTGGTCATAAGGACAAATAAATGTGGAGGCACTGCAGGAGCTATAACTTTGGGACCAGGTCGTAAGTACTTTTTGGGGGGAATCTGTCATAACTTCAAATGGCCATTAAGCAACCAATTGTCAGTCAAAGAATACCTATATAAGGTTTTAACTAATGTTTGGATTACTACTCTGCTTACTCTGTCCCAGCAGATCTGGGTTGTGCCACGTTGGTAAAGGACTGCTGGGACAGAGTAAGCAAGATAGTAACCCAAACATCAGTTAAAACCTTATATAGGTATTCCCCACATGCTGAATTTTTTTTTAAGGATAATTCTTTACAAACCTATCCTCAAATACCCTTTCCCAGGTAGCCTTTATGGCTAAGACATTACTGAATGCCTACTAGGAAAACCCAGGGGATACATTTACATCTTGCAAATTCATTTGCAAGAATTTCCATCTGACCTTATGTTGAGCTTCGCTATTGGCTGTTGTGAATATAAATGTATCCTAGCACATGTTCCAGTCTCCTGTGATATCACTTCTATGCAGTCATTTAAAATCCCCTCATGCTCCTGTTTCCTCATTTACATTTTGGATATACCTGGAGTCATTACTGGAGAACAAACCTCCTCCTCACACTAACGCGCACCCACACATCCCAGACACAAGTGCAGAACACACTTGCAGCAATCTGTGTCATTGAGGAGCTTCACTGCATATTGTTTCCAAACTGCTGAAAGTCAAAAGCAGTCCTGCCAATGGGTTCTCCTATATCCGTGATGGCGAACCTATGGCACGCGTGCCAGAGGTGGCACGCAGAGCCCTCTCTGCTGGCACGCACGCCTTCGCCCCAGGTCAGATCTCCGTGGCGTTTCTTTCGTGAGCTTCTGTTTCGCTCACGAAAGAAAAAGATCTTACTTCTTGCCGTGCTGCCGGTGTTGGAATGCCCCACCTCCTGCCGGCCAGCAGGTCTTCGGGTCTCTGCTGCGCATTTGCGCATGTCCGCATGCACACATTTGCGCATGCCCACACATGCGTGCATGCATTCACCTTTGGGCATGCGCGCGTGCACAGTTTGGGCACTCGGTGTCTAAAAGGTTCGCCATCTGCTGACTTCCACTTTTTAAAGATGTCCACTGAATTCATAGATGCTTCTGAAACAATTAAACACGGAGATAGCAGGCAGGACTTCTACTTCTCATATATCCTCTTTATCAAAAAGGAAAATCTGAAGGTTATGGAGGCCTGAGTCAGAGTGACCTTACAGACAGCAGTCCTGTAGAATGAAGGTGTGAAAAGAAGAAAGTAAATGCTTGCATTAAGTGGGTATATAGTAAGCATGTGTGAGTACAGTATACGCCTCACATATACACACATACACAAACATATCATACTCAACATCCACATGGATGAAGGAGAATGATAGAAAGAGGAGTCTAAGTCTTTAGCAGACACACTGTGTTGGTAGCAAAAGCAAGCTTGAAAAATATCCCCCGTGGCTGCAGCAAAACAGTGGCCAACCTCCTGGGAACCCCTGTGGCAGGGAGCAAATGGGAACACCAAGAGCAGAGCAAGAGTTTGAGGGAAATATGAAGGAGTCCCAGCTCACCATTTTCATTGCTTCCCTTCACACATTGAATAGAATAGAATAGAATAGAATAGAATAGAATAGAATAGAATAGAATTCTTTATTGGCCAAGTGTGATTGGACACACAAGGAATTTGTCTTGGTGCTTACGCTCTCGGAGTACATAAAAGAAAAGATACATTCGTCAAGAATCATAAGGTACAACACTTAATGATAGTCATAGGGAAACAGTCAATATAAATCTTAAGGATACAAGCAACAAAGTTGCAGTCATACAGTCATAAGTGGGAGGAGATGGGTGATAGGAACGATGAGAGATTAATAGTAGTGCAGATTTAGTAAATAGTTGACAGTGTTGAGGGAATTATTTGTTTAGCAGAGTGATGGCGTTTGGGAAAAAACTTGTGTCTAGTTGTTCTGGTGTGCAGTGCTCTATAGTGTCCTTTTGAGGGTAGGAGTTGAAACAGTTTATGTCCAGGGTGTGAGGGGGTCTGTAAATATTTTCACAGCCCTCTTTTTGACTCGTGCAGTATACAGGTCCTCAATGGAAGACAGCAGGGGTGGGTTCTGCTTACCTTTACTACCGGTTCGCAACGGGATTGCATACGCGCCTTCTGCGCATGCGCAGATCACCAATGATGACATCCAGGGCAGTGGGCGGGGCCTCCCCCTGGTTTTACTACCGGTTCTTGTGAACTGGTCCGAACCAGGGGCAACCCACCACTGGAAGGCAGGTTGGTAGTAATTGTTTTTTCTGCAGTTCTAATTATCCTTTGCTTCTCTGTACTAAGAATAAGTTGAGAACAAGTATAAGTTCAAACAGTGTTAGGTCAGGCAGCAAGACAAGACTGGCAGAGCAGCAATGGACTGGCAGAAGGGGGTAGCAACTTCAGCAAGTACACAGCAGTGCTGATCCCTGAGGCCAGTCCTGACCAAGGCTTTGCTCAAATTTACAGTCAGGCTTGGCAGATTACATGGGAATTGGTCAGAGGAGAAGGGTAGCAGAGTAATGCTCTTCTGGTCAAGAACCCTAACTGTCTGCAATCTACACATTGACTGAATGGGCAACCAAATCCTGGCCACGGTTAGTGAAGGGTAGAACTGCATACCTCTCCCCCCACCCCCGAGTTTTATTCCTAGATAGATCTTGAAATCTAGAGCAGGCCAGAACCAGGATGAATTATTCTGGCACCAGACAAAACAGTTGTGGAATTGAAAACCGGTGCTCTGGAAATTCTAGTCTTTGCTGCTCAGAGTTTGTCCCTGCCCAGCAGCTACTGGGTGGTAAGCCTCCCCTCTTCCCCCTCCATTCCTCGGTAGAGTTCAACTGCTGAATATGGTTTGCTTTACTATGATCTACATACTCATTATATGCCCTATCCAAAATTACACATAAGGGAGATGCTGAATACGCTGGTTAGATTATGAATTCTTTGTTTTAAAAACAGTGTGCATTTCTGAGTGTTTGGATGTGTGGGTGAGGCCGTCTGTTTGCAAGCGGATTTGTACATTTACACAACACATACCAGAATGGATCACATGCAAGGGATAGCTTACAGACCTCTTTTTTGACACTGCCCAGTCCAGATATTGGTTTGCAAATGTTGGATGGCATTTTTATGACAATGTTGCATAGGCCGTACACATCTCTTTTCCTGCAACATTCTCAGCACAGAGGTCTACAACTTGTGTTGTGGGGTAATGTAGCAATCTGTGGCAGAGCCCATTTTGATCCCCTTTAACCAAAACTGAGTGGCCCGAGCCAGCTACCTCCCCTCTAAGATAGGTGAATGTGAAGCATATACAGGTAGCCCTCAACTTACGACCACAATCGAGACCAAAATTTATGTTGCTAAGCGAGACATTTGCTAAGTGA